GCATTGTTGCGCAAGATTTACAGAATTGTAATTGGAGGAAATTAGGAACCCCTTTTCTTTACATTTACCAAATTTTTCTGAATGGTTTAGAATTTTAAAATATATTATAATTAATAAATAATTTTTTCCATGTACTTTAAATTCTTATTAATAAAAATTTTAACAATATGCAATATTAGAAACACAATCCAAATGTTATTACTAATTGAATTTTATATTATTCCTCTTTCATTCTTTATTTAAAAAGTTAATCCTTTATAAAAACATCAAACAAACTTCATTATATCAGCATACAACTTGGTTCACACGTGCCAATTATTCGCAATCCTAAGTCAGATCGTTCCTGAGCAGACCACAGGATTCCGCGTGTCCTGCACAAAGGACTCGACACACTCACAGCCCAATCCGTTGTCAATTTAACAAACAAATACACTGTAGGATAAACATCAACGCCCCTTGATGAGGCAAATCACGGCATTTAGATATTTATCGCACTCTTAACTCGGTTAACCCCAACACAGCCAGGCCAATCCCAACCGCCGAATCCCTGAACCACTGAACCACTGCACCACCCAACCACCGCCACTTCCCTCCCAGAATCACACGTCCATGTCAACCGCAGACTACACGTGACATTTACGCAGTTGAAAAACCAAAATCAAAACGTTTGACGAGGATCGTTGATATGCAAACAATGGAGTGCAACAACCCCGATTTCATCCCACGCTATTTAAAATCCATTTAGCACTCCTCAACTCCCGTAGTTTGGGTGGGTTTCGAAAAAATTAAAAATATCCTAAGGTACAGTTGCCATCACCATCATCATCATCGTCATCAGCGACATATATTTCCCTAAAGAGGGGCCCCATTTTGACATGTCGGCTGGGATTAAAGAATCGAACAGCTCCTATTGAGCAGGCCCGAGCAAATGTAAAAAATCATCCGAACAAAAAACACCTACCAAAACACACGCACACACAATATGTAAATTATGAATTTTGTGTAAACAAATCGCGGAGTGAGTGCATCAAAGAACAGGTCTTCGGGGTGAGCCATTAGGCATCCGTCCCAGCTACTGTATTAAATCATATGCGATGCCCATCAGCACTCACAACTCACAGATGCGCACATGGAAATCAAATGGTCGTATCATGTGTTGGCTGCTTGGGCGGCAAACACAACTAACAACCCGAAAATCAAAAGCAAAACAAACCCAGGCGATCCGAAAACGAATCCAAAAAATTGATTTCTCATCATTTTGGCGGTTGCCCAACAAACCGCGCAGGTTTCACTATTTTTGATGGACTCTCTGCTTATTAGCCGACTGTGACTGTGACTGACTGACAAAATGCCCCAGCCCCAAAAATTAATAGACACAGTGGTTAAAAACAGGAATCTTTAAAGATTGATAATGTTTAAGTACAACTTAATGATTTTCTTCGTAGATAGTTTCGGAAATCCATATACCCACATTTTTAAACCTATGAAAACACTTTCTTTAGCAAAACTCAACACAGCATTTTTTAAACTAGTTAAATTCATTAAATTAGGTAATTTAATTTATATTATTCCTAATGGTACTAATATTATTAATGAAAATAAAAATAATATTTTTTAAAACTTTTCTCAACCAAAGTATTATATTAACTTTCTCAAATAGTATTTATTTGAATTTATTTTGTTTTGGAAGGATAGATGCTAAATAATGTTACTAAATGTACTTGGATGGTCTATATCCAAGTCGAAGCTCCTTTAAATGGTTATAAAAAATATTTTTTATAAAAATTCTTATAAAAATTCCACTGTGTTTTTGTCTTTCGGCAAAAGGTCTGGCCACCTACTTTACACGTTTGCTACTTGAAATGGCATTTGTTTTCTTTTCTGGGTTTTTTTTACTCATCCTTCGGCTGTTTCCCTGCGCTGTCTGTTGGAAAAACAAAACAGCTTCGTTTTTTCCTTTTTTTGGGGGGGAGTTGGTCTTTTTTGGGGGCTGCCAAATTAGTTGTTGCTATATGGCCTCTGACCCTCCGTTTGACAAGCCGCAGGTTGGGTTACATTACCCAATGAGTCGCTGCATCTTGTGATCATGGGTCTTCGTCTTCCACATCCGAGATGTGGAAAAACAAATAATAACAAATAAGTGAAACTAATGCCCGGGGGGAAATCTGCGGCGGACCACCCTCGAATTAGCCAGGAAAAACATATGCCCCGGTTAATCTTAAGCTGTTAAGTAACCCTTTTGGGCTGCAATCGTTTAGTGGCCTTGGGGTGGGCCACTTCTTGGGCGTTTCTTTGCTTTTTAATTGACGGCACTTCTGGAGGCCGCAAGAGGCATGTGCCATCTGCCAGCAGAAAGAGAAACCCCTTTTTTTCAGGATAACTCCTGCTATTTTTTGTACTTTGTTCCCATTGCCTCTGGGCTGTATCTGAGGTTCGATCTGTCTATTTGCCGGTCGGTTTTCCATTTTCTGCTTCCAGCATCGGCTTGGATTGTTTGTTGGCTCAGTGTCACCCCCTCTGGTAATCGCCTGCTATTAATTCATTGTCTATTATCAATAATTTCCATGCCTGACATTGTATGCATTTTGTGCCGCCACTCGAGGAGCATATGCATGTTGCCTGCTGCTCCTGCGGATGCTGGTTTTGCTCCTGTTTCCTGGTTAAGCCAGCTATGCCCACTTTTCAGAGGAGATTTGGCTAGTTTTGAGAACTCAAAATAAAAGGTGATAATAAAATACTAACATGAAACTTAAAAACTGACCTGTATTTAAGGTTTTTAATTGAGTAATATATCTTTTCATCCATAAAAAGTCAGGAAAATGGAATGTACTTAAAGCAATGCGTTAGAACTTATAAACTAGCTTATAACTCGTAACTAAACTTAGGAACTTTTTTATTGATTGAGTGTATAGAACTCCTTACCAAATTTGAACCATCTATCTATTATACTACAACTGCTATAATAAATAGGCAAATTTATAATAATAAAGAGGACACAATTTCTAATATTTTATAAGAGTTTAGTAGAAGATAGCTCTAAATCTTTCCAGAAAAGATCCAAACTAGCATCACTACTCTTGGCTCTCCTCCAGCTTCATTGTTCGTCCATAACTACATGGGCCGCTGCTACTCTAAGATATTATCGACAGCTCGTCCTCCAACGAGCGGCTGACTGACTGGCCGGGCTCACCAGTGAGTCCTGGACTCCCCTGTTCCTCCTGCTCGTCCTGCTCGTCCTTTCTGCCTTTGTGCCGGCCATTGTCCACTCGAGCTGAGGATCCTGTGGCTGCGCTATCCTAACCCACCGGCATTGTTGGCCCCTGACAATGGTACATAGAGGCTATTGTTCGGTTTGGGCACATAAATACAGGGGGGAATGGGATTGGGAATGGAAATGCTAGTGGGTATGGGTTTGGGCATGGGTATGGTATAGCTGATATAGCCGGCCACACATCCTGGCCATCCTTGTTGCTGTTGACTTTTCGAGTTTGGCAAGGCGCACAATGGACAAATTGATATCCAATAATTTAATTTTGTTATCCATTCAGTCGCATGTTGGAAAATAGTTTTGTAATTTGCACTCGGCATGTGTGTAACCGATATTATTGTCCCTTCGTGGGTGTGAGTCGAGTCCTTTGGCCATTGTAAAATTTCTGCAAACGTGCTGGTCATGTGTGTGTGTGGGCATTAGTTTTATTATAATTTTGTTTATCGTGTCGTGTGTCTGAATGGGGAAAACAAAAACAAAACCAAAAACAGCTCGACCCGTTTGTGTGTAAAAGGATTTCACACTTTTCCGCACACAGCCATGCGGAATAGTTTTCCCTGGTGTTTTTCGGGGGGTCGTGTGGCATTGCCCTCAAAATAGTGGCAAATAGATAATGATGATACGGATTAACGCTTCGCATTATTATTTTGGCCATCGTCCATTGTGATGACCAATTGGGAATTTCGATTCGTGGGTGGCCTCTGTAATTGCAGTAGTTTTGTATTCGTTGGGGGTGTTTGTGGATAGTCCATTGTTCTCTGGCCAACTTCTCACGATTATAAATTACGTGCTGTGAAAATTAAATATTTACTTAGCCATCCCTTGGGTCTTGGGCGACTGGCAAACAATAGAAGTTTTAAATTAAATATTTTTATTAATTGATCTGATTAGTCAGGCATTCAATGTAGGTTGAAATAGCTTAATTGGAGCTCTAAGCGATTGAGAACAATAAAAGGGATGATTTATGCGGCTTGCTAAACAATTGAACTATTATTTGTCTATTCAAATTATGCATCAGGTATTAGGCATTAAAAATGTAGCGTTTTAAAAAATAATAACACAATGACTAGGACAAAAATTTCTTTTGTTCTTTGTTTGATAATATTGTTTTGCAATCTAAAATATTCACCCGAGAACTTCCCAGAAAAAACCAAAGCAATTTAATTTCTTCATTTAGTTTTATTGAATTATTTTGTAGATTTATTAAATACTTTAACACAGTGTTTGAAATGTACTTTATCTAAGACATAATATGATATTTAATATATATAATATATACGCTCGTATTTATATGGTACACATGAATATCTCAATTAGTTGGTTGCAATCAAACAATCCCTTACACAATAATCTCATCATCTGTATTATATTAATTTCAGCTAAACAAATACATCTTATGGCTCTTAACTGGGATCGAGTGTATGGTTTTTCTTAATTTGTAATTCATTAAACATATTATTATTACGGTTTCTATGTTACAATACTTGTGCTAGAAGTTTAAGGGTAAATTAATTTACACTTAGTTTTAGGCATGGCTAGGACCAATTGGGGGCTTACACTGGGGAAAACAGTTGAGGTAAAATCAAGAATATTATTTTTTAATAATAATATGATTTCGGATAAGACTTTATTGAAATGGAAATGGTAGCTGTTTAACGAAAACCAATTGCAAAAATGATAACAAAAAATTATACAATTTAGATTACATTTTTTGCCAATTAAGACTTCTTAATCCTTGACTTTAAAAGTGTTTTGTTTTTCCACAGTGTAGGATGAGCTGGGAGAATCTTACTCGAAAGGCCTGAAGACGGCGGTACCGCTGGCCTCAACCTCGCTGCCTCAATCCTGGGAATCCCCGGCGTTGCTGGTGCGATCCAAACCTATGCCACCCGCTCCATTGGACTCCGATTGCTCTATGTCCGCCGCACTGAGAACCCCCGGAAGATAGCCTGTTCCGGCGTAGGGAGCAGTGAGGAACCTCTTGGCATGGGCCTGCATGAAGGGATGATAGCGATGTGTGGGGGATCCAAAAACAGAGGGCGGTACCAGGGGCGAGAAGGCGGACTTCATGGGAAAGGGCGGTGAGGGCGGGACCTGGGGCGGTGTCTGACCCAAATCCTCGCCAGCCAACATGCACTCCATGGCCTGGAGGACATCGCCGCGGAATCTCTGCATCAGTTGCTCCACATCGCTGCGCCGGCGATTGGGAAAGACCCTCATTAGGACATCGATGGGAGATCTCTGCTGTTGCTGTTGTTGTTGGTGGTGCTGTGGGAGGTGGTTCTGCTGCTGCTGTTGTTGTTGCTGCTGCTGGTGGTGCGGCGAGTGGGCCGGTGGGTGGTGGTGGGCGGGCAGGCCGGCGGCGGCCAGGAACTGCGTGTGATGATATGGCAGGAAGCCCTGGGCATGACTGCTGCTAAAGGATCGCAGCAGGTGCAGATTTTCGGCGGGCGTATTGGGCGGCGACTGGCTGTCCTCCTTCTTCAGGCTGAGATTCTCCGGCGTGGCCTCATCCGGCGCCGAATCCACATCCAAATCGGATTCCGGCGAGCTGGGCGGTCCTGTGCGGGCGGGCGACAAGCTGGCGGTCAGATTGAAGAGTCCTGCGACCTTGGGCCGCGGACTGCTCGGTGATCCCGACTCCGAGCCGGTGTCCTGGTCGGTTTCGTTTGACAAGGCAGCTCCACGCTTGGAAACTGCAAGAAAATATCGAAATAAAGTTGTTATGATAAGTCATCAGTTAAACAAAAATCAAATAGTACTTAATTTATAGTATTTTCTAGTTGAGAAAACTTAGACAGCAATAAAGTTCCCAATTTGATTATGGACTTCAATTGTAAATATAGAAATATTTGTTTCTATATTTCAATGTAGGAATTACTAAACTAAAATAGGATCAAAAGTTCTAGCTCACACAATAACATTATTAATAAATTTCATTGTTTTATTTTGTTGCTCCTTTCATAGTAAGTAATTATTTATCTCTGATATCGTTTTTCCCTCAGCGAATGAGTCAGGTAGCTAGTGAAAACTGTGCGGTTTTCCACTTGAAATTTCCGAGCAAATAAAAGTATCAAATGTAGAAATGGGAAAAATGTAATCAGGGGAATCGCAAACAAAAGTGGTGGATGGTATGGGGAGATCAGGATGCGTTGACATGCCAACAAGGGACAACCTGCTGTTTTTTTCACAAATGAAACAAGCTATATGATATTTTTTTGTTTTCAGCTACCTCTGTTTTTTTCAGTCTGTTTGATTTTGCAGTTGACGAAGCCGCAGTGAAAATTTAATTAAGTCGAGGGTGCGTGGATACCAATACCCAATACCGAACTCCCTGTAACCGAAAATAAAAATTCAAGCGTGAAATCGTCTTGGATTTCATTGCAAATAAAGAGTCCGGTACTTAAAAAGACAGGTTTTCTCGATTGATTCGCGTGAGAATCCTGTTGTGTTTTTCTTTCTCGGGCCACGAAAAAACAACGTCCTTTAAAAGGGCAAACAAATAAAGACAAGTGAGATGAGACAAGGGGGAAGTATCTCACGTTACTCCCCTGCCAGGACCCTCAGCATGGGGTTGTCTTACCCCCAAGGACAGCAGATAGTCCTAATGAGTGGGTGAGGTCGAAGGTCTTTGATATCCTCGACAGACTTTGTAACTGTTTGGCGTTTGATGGGGGCAGGGGCTAGAGTTGGGATGGTAAGGCAACCGGGCTGAGATGATCTGGTTAGAATTGATTGGCTTAGTCCGGATAATAACAAATAATATTGGATAATGTTTCAATAACCTTTGTTGTTCAGCTCATGAGTTCTTGAGAGGTTTCTTTGTAAGGTTGAGAATAGAAGAGAATTTGATGTGGCCGAATCATTTTAATAAACCATTTAGGTGGAAAAGTATTACGATTACCCAGTGTTTCAGCAATAAAAACTTTTTTCCGCATTATATCATCTATCATATTAAAAAAAAAGATTATAAAAAAAATTACTTAATGCCAGCTTGAATAAAATCTTTAAAATCTTAAAATTTTGATGTTATTTTAATAAAGTTGTTAGGACCGCAAATTTAACCCCTTTTTTTCTTTAAAATCCCATCTTAAATGGGTTTCCAAATGAAATACCGACTCCCTAACGAGGACTTTAACTTAATTGTTGCAATTTGAGCTCCTTAATGTCCTGGTTCCCCTATGAACTCAATTGCAACCCCAGGACGTTTTCACGCGCTGTTTAGCAAAGTGCATGACTGCAGCTTGGCTGGCTAAATGTTTGTCAAAACAACACCTACGCCCCACACACTAGCACCACTTCGCCACTTGCACGTATGCAGCTAAATGCACATGCAACCGCGAGTGTGGCACTTTATGCACCGCTGCTTTTTTAACAATCGAAAACAAATTTTTCTTAACGCGCTTTTAACTTGCCCCCTCCGTTAAAAGATTGTGAACAACTCTTTTCGAAGAGGCCAGGCGTAAACGGCTTTTTAAGGAGCTACACTGAAAACGTATAGCTTGAATATATTGATAAAACCAAAAATATATTCTGCTACGATTTACACATAATATTTTCTCAAAATTAAGAAAGATGTTTTTCTTTTATAAAAAATATGTAATATTGAACTTAATAACTTGGCTTTGTAATGCCGACGGAAATTGAGGGTGTTTTAAAATGGTATTTTTTATAAAAAAGTTGTTTCCACATTTTTCCACAATCATTAAGCGAACTTCTTTCTGTTTCCAGGTATTTTTTCGGTGTAATCTTTGTAATATTATGTCTTGAACTTACCGGGACTCTCGTCCAACTCGGTTCTCGTGGGCGAGAAGCCCACGCTGAGGTGCTCGGAACGGGTGCGTCCATCCGTGTCGGATTCATTGCCATTGAACCGCTGGGATGCCGGATGCTGGTGGTTGTGTGGCTGCTGGTGGTGCGACTGTTGCTGCTGCGACTGCTGGTGGTGATTGGGAGTGGAGCTGGCCTCGAAGCCGTCGCTCGGTGGCGAGGGAATGCCGCCGTGAAAGACGCCATTCTGGCCGGATCCTCCACTGGCCGATCCTCCGCTGCCACTGTGGTTGGGACTGTGCGGAGTGGGTGTGGCACTATCACTGCCATTCTGCTGGCCAGGAACGGAGGTGTACAGAAGACCCAGTTCACGGGCCTCGTTTTCTTCCTGGGCCTGCTGGCGACGTAGGGCCACCTGCAAGAGGGAGGGAAATGGCGGAAAACGGATCTTTGATCAGTTAAGTGTAACAGGGAACACGGTTAATATTGTATAATGTCTGTTCCACAATCCACTAACTTATAAATACAATTTTGAAGCCAGTTAAATAGGTACTCTAATGGAATAAAATAAAGAAAGGATTTTTGGGAGACCCATCATTTTAGAAAAACCATATACAAATTATTTACATAAGAAAAGTTATAATCCTTAAGTTCCTCCATATAAGATAAATTTAAAATCGCATGATCTTTTTAATCCAACATGGATGTAGATAATTGTGTGTAGGTATTATTATTTTCTATTAAATCTTGCAAGAATGTTTATTTTTCCAATAGGTTGTAGGTAGTTCCTTTTATATAGTATTCTAAGTGAGACCCACCTGAGCAGCCATAACCCTTTGGCGTTCTGCAATTAGTGTGCATTTGGCGCAGACACAATCCCGCCAGCGGCAATAGCGTTTGTGACCCTTCAAGGCGCTGACCTGCAAGGGTTCGAAAGAAAGCAAAATCCATCGAGTTAGTAATCTCCAAATTCCAGATGGTAAGGCCTCGAAGGACGTACCACTCCATGGTTCCTGCAGCGGGCGCATTTGGGCGTTCTTTGATAGCGTTCGGAGGCGGCTCTGAGGAAGAAAGCAGGTGGCAGTGCTCCCAAAACCGGATGCTGGGACATCAGATTCTGCATGTCCACACCCGACGGCAGACTCATATTAGCGGATTGTGGTTAAGAAACCCTTTACACAGGTTTTATTTAGAGTTTTAAAAGCACTTTCAAGCACACACTTCACTTGATATGGTTTATATTTGATTTGTTTCTAGTTTTTCTTTATATTTATTTTTATAAACAATCTATTTCCGTTTTTCCTATAGATGAGACATAGTTTTAGGAACCACGCGCGCTGACGACATGACACACTGAGCCCTCGATTGCAACTGATTCAACTTTTTGGCCAAAACGCCACAGCGCACGGCAGCCCAGGCAAAATCGACGGCGACGTTCAGCAATGGCGGCAAGCGGCAACATTTACCAATACAAAAGCGGCTCGGCAAACGAGGGTTGAAAGTGCCCGAGTGTATATACACACACGTATCTGGAGGATTTCGGATTCAGGGATTCAGAGAGTGTTGCAACCACCTTTGTGTGGCGCAGCTGCCTGCGTCGGCGTCGCTGTTGGCCGCTCTGCCCGCCGAATACATCGACGTCGACGGCGGCAGAGGGGCTGGCAATTAAGAAAAAAGTTTCAAATCTAATTTGGTACTGTATACAAAATTGTGCACTCGAGGCGGCGACGCGGCGTATGAGTAATGTGGAGGGAGAGCACTCCGGACTGGCTGGCTCTGTGTGTTGGTGGTGGTGCGGTGGTTGTGGCTGTGGTGGTGTTGGTGGTGGTGGTGGTGCTTCAGTGCCTCAGTGGTGGTGCACTGGTGGTTGTTTGGGGTTTCTTTCATTTTCTTTGTTGCCTTTGTTTCACAATTTCCTTCTTTTTTATTTTGCCCCTCTGTATGTGAGAGCGCTTTGGGCTTTCGGCTAATGGAATAGCCAACCAAAAGCGTTGTTGTTGCGACCTCGCCGCTGGTTGGCATGGCTAACACGCACACACACTTCTGCACACACTCAACTGACACTGTGAAGTTGTTGCTTTTTTGGGGAGCGGGGGCTACTACCTAGTATTCCCAGACCCCTGCTCTATGTACCCCTCCTCGCTTTGGCAAAACTAAAGTTTCCGCTTTGGTTTCTGGCACATTTCCAGCTGCCGCTGATGAAAAATGTCTGAAGTGCGTGCTAAAATCTCCATGAATAAAATCCAAGTACAGGTATACGAATAATTGCACTTTTGCTCATTATACTTGATATTATAATGGAGACTTTCTTAACAAAAAGAGATGTATTCGTTTTCTTTGAGGTTTTAAAGAAACAATTAAATAGATCATTATAAAGCATTGGTGTTTATCTTATAATCCTTAAAAACTATAGTAGTTATCACCAACATCAAAATAAAATTAAGAAATTTTATTATCCTAAAGATAAACAGAATTAATTGATAATTGTCTGTTTTATTCCTTTAGAAAATAACATTATAAGGATTTCTAAATTTGGTAGTCCCTAAAATTACAAAAAGGTGTTCCCAATTTAGTCTGATAAATGGAAAAACATGTTTTGAATAAGTTGGTAATGAATTTGACTAAATACAAACATATGTATATCATTTTAAGCGTCCTAAAAAGCAATAATCACTTAGAGATACTAATAAGAATATATAACTGAATGCAACAAGATCAAATACATTTCGATATAAACTTGTTACATTAAAGAATTTTAAAAATATATGTAAAAAAACAAAAGATTTTTACATAAAGAGTCCTTTATATAATGTGGTTTATTTCCCGCTGCGTTGGAATGAGAGGTTTTTTATATTTATGTTTTTTTTAGGGAGGTGGGTTGCCCTGGCCTATTGGAATGTTACAAAATAATTGCAATTGAAACAAACCGAGTACGAGTGCCGAGCAAACGAGACAGTCACGTGTGCGAACGAAGCAGCGACATTGCGCGCGCCTGAAATTTCAGAATCCGCCGGAAATGCTCTGCCTCTTTCTCTTTTTCTCAGTTTCTCTGGGTTTCTCTCTGCGAGATTCGCTCTTTTTGGGACTCCGCCTACAAAGGAGGAGGAGCTATGGCTCTCACACACACACTGTAAAAATAGAAGAACATAAAGCGGCAACAATGTTGTACAAGTTGGCCAAAAGAAACAAGTTTCCAGTCTGTCTGTGTTTGTGATTGAATGGGTGTGTGTGAGTGGCCTAAGGACCTCCACACACACATATATATATTAGGGGCAGTTCCAGTTCCGCTGACGTCGTCTTTTTGGCCCGGTCACAGTTGTTGGCAACAGTAAATGGCTAGAAGTTGCTGTGTGGATGTTGCTGCTGCTGCTTTTGCTGTTGCTGCTGTTGCTGCTACCGTGGAGCTACTGGTGTTTTGCGCAGGGCCAATTTCTCGCATTTTAACTTTGTTTAAAGTACGCCTATATACACACACGCACACACACGGAGACAACTGCCCTGGGTGGCCACTTATAAAGTGTTTTTACTGCGACCAAATATGCAAATTAGTTGAGCAGCGCTGGAGATGACAACTTACTTTGTTGTTGTTGCTGCACATACAAAAATATTTATGAATATTTTCACATTTTGGTTTCAAATAGATCAAAAAAATTTAAAGCCTATACTATTTCTGGAAACTTACGAACAAATCAATGATTAAATTTACATCCTAAGAGCTCTGCACTTCCACAAAATAGTATCTATAACAAGTTCGTTTGAAAGCTATTTTATTATTAAATTAGCTTTAAATATAAAAAAATATTATATTAGCAACGAAAAATAAATTATCAAAAAATTCGAAATGAAAATGATAATGTTATTGATGATAATGATATTGTAAGCTTGTGAAACCTTTTGTTGAATCATGTTGCATACTTCTGAAAATCTACTTAACTTAAAGAGAATCCTACATGTTGTTTAAAAATTCTTATATATTATTACCTTTCATAAATATGCCATAAAATGTTTAACTTTGTAATTTATTTAAAAATTGTAAACAACCATTTGTTTTCCGTGTAGTGCCGACAACAAAAGCTGAAACATGTCCATTATGTCGACGGCTTGGCTGGCTCTCTTCACGCTTGAGCGGCCCCCTGAAGGCGGGAGGGGCGGGGGAGGGGTTGGCGGTACGCAGGGTGGAGGAGGAAGGGAGACAGAGAGGGGGGTGAACGGGCGGCGGTCCAATACAAACAATATAAGGCGCGCACACAGTGGCACACAACAATAATCAACAGCCAAGGCAACATGCGCAGCATGGCAACAACAATGGAAATGAAATCAACAAAAAATCGTAGCAAGAAATGGAAATCAATCAAATGAGATTGGAGGAATTATAAATGCTCTACTTAGCAGACCAAAAAAACAGAAACAAAATCGTAATCCTAAGAAAAGGGATAAGCAAATAATCAAATTATCTCTCCGACATTCTTATATAGTAAGAAACATTTGTGATCAATCTTTAAAGGTTGTAAAACTTATCAAAGTTATTTTATTTTTTTATATAATAAATTACTTTGTAATAAAGGAATATGTTTTATTTCCTTTAAGTACTGGCTTAAGGTAAATTAACATCATATATCGCTTGATTAAATCAAATCATTATATCTGAAAATAGCCTTTTTAAGTCCAACAAAAACATTACCATTGGAAAATTGTAAGTAATAAAAAAACAATTTAAAACTAAATAATAAATATAATTAAATAATTACGCAGAAGGGTATTTAATATCGGTAAGCCTGTAGTAAGTATAAATTGTTTGATCGAGTAAAGGAAACGCTGATCTTGGGCATGAATTGAAGATACGCATGTGCTGGCAGCGGTGTAATAAGTAGCCGTTGGCTGGGCCCTCGACGAGGAAAGTTGAAATCACTCCGGGATCATTGCTACTTTACTTAACCCGGGTCTTGACTTGACCACCGCTCTGTGTGCCACATACTACCACCTCGGCATCTCAGTGCTCTTTTGATGGCTCCGACGGATGGACATCTCAAGTGGCCAACTCGACTGCTTCTGATTCAGTGGGTAAAAACGGGTAAAAAAAAAATGAAATAAAACGAGGATCTGGAGGGGGAACAATGGAAAAGTGCCTTAAAATGTTGACAAATATTTAACATGCAGTGGCCGCAAAATTATTTGATCAAGACCCCCGAAAAAAAAGTGTATACAGAGAAAGATCTTTTCACCCAAACACACATATGGAGATATTGTACAAAATTAAAACTGAAACTTGAAGACATGCGGCTAATGAGATTTCCTTGCGTCATTGCCCCATTCATACATTTCGATTGCGATTTGTTTGCTTTGTGTTTGGGTTTTGGTTTTTGATTTTTGGATTGGTTTCTTTTTGGTGCCGCGACACCAAGCCAATATTTGAGCAATCGGTGGAGTCGATTGTCTCTAGTTCTGTGAGGCCTCTAGTGGTTCGTTCATGGGTTAGCCAGGTCGGAATGCCCCTGCACATCGCGGCCCAACTTCCCCTTGGAACTTGGAACTGTCAGCGGCAGTTGGTTTTGAACAATGCAGGCGACGGCGGCACTCCAAAATGGACAGGGTCGAAAAAAGTTAATTTAATTTCGAGTGTGTGCAACAATTGTCGTTCGTCCTTCGTCCTGCGCTTATCCTTTTCAGCTCTCTCTCTCACAGCCAACTCGAGAATAACAATCGCAGATACAGAAACACACCACCGCCCCCGCCCGCCTGTTTTGCATATTGTTTTACAAGATTGCAGGCTTCGGGATGGCTCCTTCGACTTATCTTTGACGCAAAGAAAATCTCATTAAATAACTTCCTGCGCTTTCAAGTCCTGCCAGCATCCTGTGACAGAGACTCTCTACATCTCTCTTTCGCTCCTTGGCAGGACCAAAAGCTGAAACTTTGAACTCTCATGTATTCGGATTCGTTCAGCGAGCCATGAAATTACATTTTGCTTTTCTTGCGGCGGAAGTCTTCCTCTTGCGGAAAATGAAAAGAAGCAAACATCGTCGACCGGAAACCCATGGAAACGTGAAATTTTGTTAAAAGTTCAAGGAAACTTTGTGTGCGACTGGTGGGCTGCCATTTTGTTAACTCAAATCTCTGTTGGCAAGTTGCTAGAATTGTGTTGTGTCATATGCAGATGCATACAGTTGTGGGCAAAATAATAGCTTTTTGATTGAAATAAATAAATAATATTTTCAGTATCCATTACAAATACTAGATATTTAAACATTTAATAAAGACAGCAATGGAAGTATGAGTTCCTAGAACCATATATTTCACTAAAGGATTTGGCCTACAAGGCCCTCTCATATGACACACGCCAAATAGAAAAAATACCCGACATCATATCACATTCTTCTTTCGTATCCCAGCCGGAAACTCGTATTTCAAACATTAAATGGCTCAAGGAGCTCACAATTTATACAATATTGCGAATTCCGGCAGCCAAGCATTTGACACCTCCAACAGGCCGATTATATAATCGTTAACTGCAGTTTTCCAATCTAAATCCCCATCCCAATCCCATTCTCGAACCCAGTAATTTGAGATATCCAACAGATTCAGTTCCTGACTTTGGCCATTGACACACTCTCAGGGTGTTAATATAATTTTCTCCCAACACAGCCTGTATATATACATATAGTTTGTATAATTTTCCTAATAACATAACAAAAACAGAATGCCGGGGGAGAGAAATTGAGAACTCTATAGCGATGGTAATCATGACCATTGTTTTGGGGTACTCGCATAAACACTGTTTCCGATTGCGACCTTCCCAACAGAGAGGCCTGTTTTTTAACCCTGCTATCTAACCCTCAGTTAAGGACTCGCCTCCTTTGAATAATAATAATAGTTGTGGAGAGCAGTACGCCCCTTTGAGGCAACTGTTATTAGTTGAAGGGCGCGTGGTTCCCAGCGAACCATCGGGTTTACGAATAGTGCTCGAAATCATCCCATAGTAATGACATCTCTCTGTCGCCTGAGGCCAAATTTAATTTCGAACTCGACGGCCAGCTGTGAATTTTATTTGATTTAATTAAATACGATTGCATGGGCTTGCATAATGGCCGTCGAATTGACAGTTGGCCACTTGGATCGCTCCTCACGGCCTTTTAACTGGGTGAAAGCGCCGTTGATTCCTGTTATCAGCCATGTACGTATATATACGAAGACCTACATATATGGGGAATTTCGGTTAGGATTGAATAGTCCTATAAAACTGATAAGGGGTCAAGTGCAAAGTCAAACCGAAAGACGGATTTTTAACATGCATAATCGGTTTTGTTGATACAGAGAGATCTTATCATCCTGATGTTAAATGTTTTAAATTTAATACATTTAATATGGTACCTTTCAAACTATACCCAAAAAGTTAAGTGTAGATTAAACTTAATTAATTGGCTGGAGATTCATTACAGTTTACATTATATAACCCTTAGGCACGAGCAAATTAAATCATTTTTCTCAAAACAGGAAATAATTTTCATTTGAAAGAGCAGATAAGTTGTTGCAGGTGAATCATTATCAGCTAGCAATGTAAATAGTCGGTTCAACACCCAGATGGAGATAGAAAAACTATGAACTATCTGGAAATCTATTCAATAAACAAGTTAATCAAGAATTGAGTTTTGCATAGCAAATAGAGCTGAGCAAATGCTCGATTATAGTCGAAGTCTGGGTTTCATTCCAAACTTATCAGCCGTGGGGAGAAATGCAATTAAACAGTGTAGTTGGGAACTGGACTGGAGAGATAAGCGAGTGAACTCTTGGCACAGAGAATCCGGGGAGAGCATAGACATATAGACATCGAGCGATCTGCGGTTACCGATTAGCGGTAGCTATAAAGCCGGGCACTTACCCGTCGGCGCTTCAGTTCAGAACTTCGACTACACCGCGATCGTGCAACTATATTCCACTATGCTCAAGTATCTCATCGTTGCTCTGGCCCTGTGCGCTGTGGTGTGTATAATATATGTGTAATACATTAGTATATAAAAAAAACACGTAATAGAGGCAAACTTCTTCAGCTTCAGCTAGATGTTTTTGTTTATTCAAAAATAAATAAGTGAAACAAAAAATTCCAATAACTCTTCTCTAAACTCAAACGTTTTCTTAATTTCAACATTATCGAATAACTAAAAATAAAGCCCCATATCCAACATTTAAAAGCTTTGTATTTTGTTTACAACACTACACATTAAAGATTGTTGTCTAATTTCTTTACAAATATTACTTCAAATGCAATAATAGTGACGCAAATATAAGCAAGAATGTTTATTTGCACTTCTACATTATCTAAACATCTCACAACTACGGTTTTGCATAAATAAAAGTTTATTTAAGGCCAGTTGGGAAATTTAATACAAAATCGGGGAGTGCCAAACATCTTTTGAAATTAAAAAGTAATACATTTAATAGTCACCAGATGCAATTACCTATTAAGTCAGATTGAATCTATAGATTTGTTGAATGGGTGGTAATTTAATTAAAAATTATTAATTTAATTAAGGTATCTAGTTTAATCTTTTTATATCAATAAGACATTTAACTAATAAAAGCAATTAATTATATTTAAACTCTCTTTTAATAAAGGCCCATGCCGATGAGTGGACGCCCAAGACCGGCGAGGAGATCAGGGGCATCCGCGTGGAGTGCCTGAAGGAGACTCCGCTGAGTAACGAGCAGATTGCCCAGCTGAAGAACCTGGTCTTCCCCAACGAGCCCGATGTGCGTCAGTACCTGACCTGCACGGCCATCAAGCTGGGCATCTTCTGCGACCAGCAGGGCTACCACGCCGACCGCCTGGCCAAGCAGTTCAAGATGGACTTGACCGAGGAGGAGGCCCTCAAGATCGCCGAGAGCTGCATCGATGACAACTCCCAGAAGAGTCCCACGGACGAGTGGGCCTTCCGCGGACACCAGTGCATGATGGCCAGCAAGATCGGCGACAAGGTCAGGGCCTTCGTGAGGGCCAAGCAGGAGGAGGCCAAGAAGAAGGCCGCCGCCTAGGATTCCCATCATATATAGCCCCAATAAAGTGTGTTCATCTCTTGTGCTGGAATGCAACCTTTGGTAGATAGTTTATTGGTTTTAGGCTAAGCAGGGCAACAGGCAAAACCACAATACGAGTGCACCGAACTACGACTATACGACTACTGAGCGTGTGGGTCTACAGGAAGATTGGGGTTAATGGTCTGGTCCTGGATCTGGATCTGTAGATGAGTCCTTAAGCGTCGCCGCCCTCCGAAATGGTCTTCATGGCCACATCGATGTGCTCCACCAGTGGCAACTCGATGTCCAAAGCTGGGTTACGGAAGCTCTCCAGGAAATAGCAGGTCTCTGAGCCGCCAGGATTGGGGAACTCCTTGGGCAGGAAGGAGGGATCCCGCGGCTGCAGGTCAAATTCAAAGCCCTCGTGCTTGGTGAGCCAACTGAAAGAATGGCAAAAAGTTATGAGATGCTATTATAAAAGGAATAATAAAATCTCCAACTTACTCCTTTGTTGTAGGGCTGACATTGATCTTCAGCGCCTCGCTGCCAGACTCAAACTTATTGGCTATGGTGACGCTGTGCCCGAAGAGGCAGTACCTGGGCATCTTCCTGCCCACCACACCGGCCAGAACCGTTCCCGTGTGCAGGCCGATCCTCATTTTGATTTGCTCCCCATCGTGGGTGATGTGCTTTGAGCAGGCATCGATCATCTTGAGAGCCATCCATGCCACCTTGTGGGCATCGTAGATGGAGGCCCGATGGAGTCCACTGGCCACGCAGTAGGCATCCCCAATGGTCTCCACCTTGTACACATCAAAGAAGTCGCAGAACTCATCGAAGTCCTTGTACAGACCCTCCAGCATGCTGATCACCATGAATGGAGTGGCCCTCGAGCAGATGCTGGTGAAGCCCACAATGTCGCTGAACAGGATGGTAACATCCGGATAGGTCTTAGCGTCGATGGAGGAGCCCAGCCAGAGCTTCTCGGCGATCTCGGCGGGGAAGATGAGGTGCAGCAGGCTGACGTTCTTCTTTCGCTCCTTGGTCACCGCCGAGTTGGCCTCCTCGATGCTGTTCTTGATCTTGTCCATCCGCCGACGCAGTCCATCCTGAGCCCTGGCCTGTTCACCCACCAGGATCACCTCCCTAGTGGCATCGTGCAGTGGAATATCCGAGATAAAAAGACCATTGCAGGTCAGGCCATCCAGACCATCGAGGAAGGGTGACCCGATGAACAGCAGGGAATTCGATTCGGGGCAGTGCACCATCTGACCCTTGATCTCCAACCCGATGGCCGGGAAATCCACGGCTCCCGGTGGATTCTGCAGGCCAATCAGGAAGGGCGTATACGTGCGCCTCACAATGTCCCGGAACTTCATGGTCAATCCCTTGGGGCGCTTGAAATCAAAATAGGTTGTTGCCTGGCAGCCAAAGTCCGCCATATAAGGCTTGTACAACTTGCTGAATCCCCTGCCCAACTGCACCAACTCAAGTTGTTCGTTCATGATGAAGTGCCAGGGAAACATTTTGCAAAAGCTAGAGGAGTTCATCTGCAGATCAGAAGCATTGCTAGAGTTGCTACGCTGTACAGTTTCCGGAATCGTCTTGGGAATAGTGGGACGACCCATAAGCATTGTCTGGGAATTGTCCTTGACCAGCGAGAAAAGATAGCGATACCGTCGGGCATCTCCCTCCACGGGTTCAATCTTGATGTTCACATCCACCTTATAGAGCATGCGTGTGAGGGCCTTCAGAGAACCCAGGAGCAACCAGGCAATCACCGGACGCTCCGAGGTGAAGATCAGCTCCCCCTCGCCGGCACACACAAATCCGGTATCGGTCACATCCTCCTGTTTATTAAATAGATTGATATACTATGAAATAATATGGCTATCGTTGATTATAGTTTACCTCCTGCAGCTTTAGCACATCGTAGACCCCATCGAGAGAGCCCAGAAACTCCTGGAGATCGGTGCCCAGACAGCGAAAGGCTCTTTCTATAATACCCGTGCAGCAGCAGGTGATCAGCTCCTCGCCCAGGAGCACCAGGATCTCGCTGGCGCTCGCCTCGTCCATCTTCAAAAGCAGCTCCTGAATGTCCGCCAAGTAATCATAGTTGGCGCAGCTCTTGAAGGTTTGGGGATCCAGTTTTCTGAAAGGGTTTTTAATGCAAATGATTTTTTAAGATATATTTCTGTTCCTATTTTTATGAATTAGTAAATCCTTAATTATTTTAAAAGTTAATAAATGAAGTAGATTAAAGAGACTAAGCTTTTTGTTCTAAACTATACAAAATTAAGAAATATTTTTAATAAAAATAATGTTCTAAGTGATCCTTAATATATATTTTAGATTATAGTTCTTACTCACAGCTTGTGAATATTGGGCCAGTTCTGGCGGTACTTGGCTATCAATGAGGTGACTGCCGTGTTGAGATCCTCGTTGGAAGGCGCCGTCAGGAGCTGGATGGCCATTTGGAGGTGCGTGAGGGTCAGGGCGTCATCCGATAGCTCCTCGTCCTCGAGTGCCCAGTGGCCCCCGGGCTCAGCAATGACCGAGGGCTGGCGTGTCAGCGAGTCCGCCCGCCTGAAGAAAGGACACGCCATGTCGCGTGTGTGCTAAGCTCTATTCGATCTATTTCGGGGAGTAAACAGGAGGCAGGGTATCAACAATTCAATTATTGGCCACAATCAATCATTGAATTTTTAAAACCTATTTCCTGACAAGAAGCTTTAATCAAGTTGCTCCTCAAGTTGGTAACTAATTGGATGAAGTGCCCATTAAAGTTTTTCTAAGTCTTATTAATAATTAACAACACAAAAAATAACTAAGTGCTTGCCATTTTGTTGCATAATTTAAGATGCAAACGATAGAAATAAGATACATGAAAATTGCGAACCCTTAAAGGTGGGTTTTTAGTTCACTGAAGCCCCATTAAGAGCTTTCAATCAATCTAAATGAGAATTCTAACTGAGATGTGACTAATTTAATGGGTTTTTCCTTGGAGATTCAAGTAGCGATTCGCTGTGTATCGTGCATTTTCCGCCCGGGGCTTTCCTCTGCTCTTTTCTCAAGTTCAACGTGCACTTGTGTGAGGGGGTGGCTGGGTGGTTGGGAGGTTATCTTGCTACGTGCACCACCCACTGGTGGCCCACAAAGGCCCATGTCCCTGCAGTGTCTTGTGTGCCCAACTCGAGTGGCTTTCCTTGGAGGTCAAGTGTGTGCCAGTCTTTCTTTCTTGGCAAGGCTCCCACTCTTGCTTTCTGGCCAACAGCATTACCATAATTTTATTTTGCATAATTTAAGAGGTTCCCTTCTGGCCCAATCCCATTCCCCGCCAGCTGCTGTTGCCCGATGTGTGTCACACTGGTCAGCTTTAATTTTCACCACCTCCTCGTTTCTTTACAGGACGGTGTGTATTTGCTTACAGGACGCGAAGCCCCCATGGATACACAATTTTCCAGCACTTTCACAAGGTTTTTACGCTTGTGGCACTCGCACGCTCGAACTTAACATACTTTTAGGCACACACTTACTTGGATTATAATATTTAAATATTTTTCACTTGGTCTTTTACTATATTTTCCCTGCTTTAAGGTTGTGGAAAATTGTTCTGAAAATTCTTGGAGAGCTGAGGAATTTTTTCGCACGCCTGAAAAATGCCACAACTCGAAACGGAATGAACTTTTGGCCAAAATAAGGTGGCGAAAAAGTCTAAGGGCAGACAAGCTTTACGGAGAAAGCTTTCCCAAGTGAAAGTGTGCAGAGATTGTTGCATTGTTTTGAAGATACAAAGAGAGCGTAAGAGCGATTGCGCATGAGTATCTTTCGGATTCAATTTGATGCTGTCTATAAAGCTTTTCCCAACGGTCACTTCTCAATTAACCTGTTGCGTGAGCAGCGCTCTCCAAAATTCCCGCTCTCAACGCAATTACAAAGGTAAAAAATAATCAATCTGCCCTCCTGTATCTGTATCTGTAGCGGTGGCAAGTATCTGCAGAATGCTGCATATGCTGCACACCACATGTCCGGCTGAAAACTTTTCACTCTCCAGAAATCGGAAACTTTTCAGCGTTCGCCCGTCCAAGTCCAGCGAATCGAAAATGTATATGATACGCCTCAGTTTATTGACGTTGGCCGCCCGTGCGCAACGTGTTCTTTTCCATTGTTTTCATTTCTGGGGGGCTATCACCATATAGTTTGTTTATTTTCGATTCCGCGCTCGCATCGTGTGAAAGTGCAGCTTGGCTAGACTTTTTTCTACGGCCTCTAATAGTTGTAATTTGCACTAATTACGGCGGCGATGAACGATTTCGGGCAATTCGTAAGTGACTCAGGTTCTGGTTTCTAACTGGGGGTCTTAAGTTTCAGTGATATGTAAATTCCAGCTATATAAGCATAAATAATACAATATCATACATGCGTGCGTGCATTGCGGATGCTTTATCTAACCGCAGAAAGTGGAACTATAAAAAGAACACAAAGCTTCGTCCTTGACCTTGCACATCTCTCAGGTTCTCTGGAGCACTCTGAAAGCTCCTGCACCGAAAGTGAAAGTTTGAAGGCCCTTTCACACCCCTCCACCCAAACAATAGATAATTCCATGCAAATTTACATCTCCATAAAGGCCATGAATGTTTGACGAGGGACTGGCAAGCCAACCCCAAGAATAAATGCTCTAATCTAATCAGACCCGAAACCATTCAATTTTCTTAATCACATCGTTTGGCTGTAGTTTGGACCTCCAAGGTGCGATTAGCGTTAATCGCTTGGTTTATTTTGGGTACAAGCAACATGTGAAGCCTCTTTTTTAAAGTAATTTGTTGTGATACTTTAAAATGCCTATTATACGCAATAATAAAATGGGTATAATCTTGAATGCTTGAATGTTTTAATAAAACAATGATTATAATAATTTTAAATACTATATATATTACTCGTGAATAAAAGTAATAGAATTAGATAAAATCCATATTAACACATGTATCAAATTAGTTTGCAGAACTTTAAAGCTGACAAAAACGTAGATATCACAAAATATACAAATCATGTAATATGGGTTAATATCAAAAATGAAATTAAGGATTTAAAAAGTCGCATTGTTTTATAAGACTTTCTTAATTTACCATATTAATTTATTTTTTTAAGGCCAAGGCCCAGAGCCCCAAGTTGTTGCCATTTTTGGCGACCCTTGTCCTGTATTTCTCGCTGGTCAGAAAGGATCCCCGAGGAGAGCTATGGACCACAGTGCTCAAGTGCCTGCCAATTGTGGCTCTGATGTTCTATGTGGTGGCCAAAGGAATTTCGCTCAAAAAAGAGTAAGATGGTATGGCTTTTATAATTTATTTTCTATATAATTTTTTAAGGTATCGTCGCTCACTTTGGATTCTTTTGGGCTTGGTTTTCTCCTGTGGTGGCGATGCCCTGCTCAACATAAATCTGTTTCCATTTGGAATGATCTCGTTTGGAGTGGCGCATGTGTTTTATATTAGCGCCTTTGGATGGAAGCCCGTAAAGTGGCTTATTGGATCGGTTCTCTTTGTGGCTGTCTCACTTTGTAAGTTCTATTGAAGAAATTGTTCAACTGAAAATATTTGTAAATCAAATCAAATCAAATCCTTACAGTTGTTTACTTTGTTCACAAGAATCTCGACGAGATTCTCATCATCGGAGTGCCGATCTACTGTTACCTGATAACCACAATGCTCTGGAGATCCCTGGCCCGAGCTGTGGATTCCAGGAATTTCCTCACCGTTTTCTGCGCCATCGGAGCCATTCTGTTCGTGATATCCGACGCCCTGATCGCGGTCACCATGTTCGTGGGCGTTCCCCTGCCCTTCGCCCGCCTCCAAATCATGATCACCTACTATGCCGCCCAGTTTGCCATTGCGCTGAGTACCGCCGACGACGGACCTGCGCTCCAGCGCTCTCCTCACAAGAAAGTCAAGTGAAGTCAGTGCCCCAATGCTCATCTATTGGAAACCCATAGACAACATGAACGCAACCACCAAATTTAGTACTTCCAAACCGTCTAGAATCTAGAGAGTAATGCCATTTACGTGTGTTTGTTTCCCCATCCCTGTAGCATAGTGTAACCAAATATTTGTTCCGTTTTTTTGGTGGATGTGGAAACGGATCTTAGTAGAGTTTATTAGATGTTTGTTGACTTCAAAAATAATAAATCTCTTAAAATTAAATTTCGTGTATATCATTTTTATTAAAACCAATGTACACCATTAAAATATTCATTAAAAAGGCTTATCCTAGACGGACTTTTCTGCAACTACCTAAAGATTGTATGCCAAGCTATAAGACGAACTAATCGTCACTGCTGTAGCTTTCTTCTGAGGTGGAGTCCTGGCGAGCGCGTCTTCCGCGTCCCCGCGCAGGAGTCTTCTTGGTGGCTGCTGGCTTTCGACCGCCTTTCTTTGTTCTGGCCGACCTTGCCCTATTGGCCTGGCCTTCGGGAGTGACTTGATCGCCGGGTTGCGTCGCAGAATCCGGATTGACTTGCAGGCATTCGTTCAGTCGGTTCTCGAACTCGGTGACCACAGCTTTGAGCTCCGGTTTGGCCAGCTTGTTGGTGTTGCTGATGATCAACTTGAACGACTGGTAGACCTCGTCCACCTGGACCTTATCCTTGAAGTGCTGCAAATTGTCCATCAGCTTTTTCACTGCTCGCTCGTTGTAGGTGAGCAGGCCCAGGCAGTAGGCAATATCGCGCCATTGACGCTCCACCCGCGTCACCGGGAAGCGCAGGCACAGCTTCTCCACCAACGTCTCGATTTGGCGGTCCTTCTGGATGAGACCCAAGATGTAGGACATGATAATGCGGTACTTGTCCTCATCCAGGTTAAGATTGATATCGCCCAATCGAGAGATGATGTCCGGCAAGACGTTGTACAGAATGTTCGACTTGTTGGCAATCTCCTTGAAGAACTGCTTCGTGATATTGCGAATCTCCTCGTTTCCGTCCACAATGCAAAGCGCCATGTCGGCGATTTGGCCCTTCACACGAATCATCTCGTTGAGGATCAAATGGGAGAGCATTTTGACAGCAGTCAGTCTCAACTCGGTGTTCGATTCGTGCAGCTGGGCGTAAAAGTGTCCCGTCCACGGCTCGATAATGTTTGGGAAACGGAAAGTGAGATCCGAAAGGCCCACTACTGTGTTGCACTTGATCCGAATGTTCTTTGTAAGGTTAAGGATGTTCATCAAGAAACTCATGTTGGATTCGCAGAACCTGGAGGACACTGTCATCAGACGGGCCAGTGCTAAGGTGGCCGCCTGCTGCAGCTTGGAATCCTTAAACTCTCCCGGACGCTTGCAAATCTCTATGATAAATGGCGCTAGCTTGGACAGCAGTGCGTCCGGGTTGTACAGCAACATATCCTCGCATATACCGTGAATCTCCTCGGCAATGTTGTCCTCGGCAGTGGCCCCCACCAGATCATCGTCCGGCTCCTGCTGCGGCTCCGCCGCCACTCCCGACAGTCTCTTGCGCACCTCCATGGCTGACAAATTGAGCGTTCGCCTGGCCGCATTTTGTGAACTTCCCGCCTGTTGATTTCGATTCTTACGCTCTTCCTGCGCTGTCAATTCGTCGCGATACTTCATGTTGTTGTAGATGTCCATGTCAAGGAAGATCATCTCCTTGATGGTCATGTAGCCGATGCAGAAGACCAAACGTGTGACCAGAAAAACGGGAATCAGGCTGCCCTGTGTCTGGGTTAGGATATCTGCTTGAGTCTGGGTAGGATTAAGGGTCTGCGAGTAGGGAATCTCCAAAGGCTGCGATTCGCGAATGTTCTCCTTATCTGCCACCTCTGGGGATTGAACCAGTGCAGTTTCCTCCTTGACCAGCCAGCTCTCGTTGAAGCGCTTGAGCAGAGTCACTACCAGCTGCTGGGCAATCACATCCGGCGCCTGGCACATCCTGTAGTAATACTCGAAGACACTCATGGCCAGACCATCAAAGTCCGACAAGTTCTTGTGGAAAAAGAAGTCGAGGAAGAGTCGAGTGATTTTTCCCACAAACTCCGCATCGCTGTTGTGGCGTTTGTAATACTTGGCGTTGTTATTTGCATCGATGGAGTTTACCAGCAGCTGCAGGCAGGAGGTAAAAATGCGCGGATCGCGACGAACCCGCTCCCCGGCGGCAATGTCCTCGATAATGGTGGTGTTAGCCGAAACAATGCTGGCTTTCGTTTGCGAGGCCATAATCAGGAGCTGGAGCGACAGGCGAGATTCGTTGGCGGTTGTGCCCTCCAGTTTAAGGGTGAAGCGCTCAAAGAGCACCGTGATGACGGCGGAGTCAATATCGCCCCCGGCCACCCACTCGGCCATCAGCGACTCCAGGGCCGTATAGTGGCCGTACTCGATCTCCGAGAGAAACTTTGACAGGTTCTGCACCACACGTATGGCGTGAGCACGGCCCGATTGATCCGTAGAGAATAGAACCCTCTTATAAGCATCGGACACGGCATCACGCTTCTCCTTGTCCGAGGACCAGACCAGCTGCAGCATTCGCTGCATTCCCGATTCCGTGCCATGGATTCCGAACATGTAACCAGTGGTAAATAGGTCCACTGCCTCGAAAACATCCGTGTTCGTCTTGGACATGAGCATCTCGTGAAGTTTGGGGAATGCTGAAGTCATCAGCATTGCAAAGTCGATGCTGTCCTTGAGGAACTGAACCGTTTTTATCTGCTGCAGCATCTCCTCGCTCTGGAAGTGAAGATTTGTTTAGAAGAGATTCTTTAACAATATATGCGGACACCTACACTCTGTTTAAATCCGGCAGCTAGCAAGTGATAAGTCTTTAGCAAAGCCAGTACATACACGCAATGCTCATCGTGCTTTAGCAAGGAGCTGAAAGGTAAATACATTTATTTTAAAATGTAGCAATCTTTAATGGGCAACTTACCTCATACTCTGATTTCCAGCCAGATAATCCACTTTTCGCACCAGAACAATGACATCCTTGTAGTTTTTTTCGCGCATCATCGGCACGATCCTCTCCAGCAAAGTCTCGTCGGACTCCTCTTTGTCGAACTGCATATCGGGAACTGAAACATAAAAATTGGCTTCACAAAATACCCCTAGCTACCGTATTAACTTTTACTGACACTCCTTCAGGTTGGCCTCTATGCAAGGCAAAAGTTCGGGCGCCAGAGTGCTAAACTCATCGTTGAGCCTCTCCTCCTGCTTGCGCTCTTCCTCGAGCACCTCGTTTAGTTTTTCCATCGCCTGTACCTCGTGCTCATGTTTGGCTCTTAGCTCATCTAAGGATAGTTTGCTGGAATAGGGATTGCTTTCCAAAGCGGATTTTATCAGCTGCATGGCGGCACGTCGCACCAGCGAACTCTTGTCCTCCAGCCTTCCAATGGCCTCGTCCAGCACTCTGGTCAGGAAGTTCAGTGGGATCGCATGCTGCTCTTTCAAGTGGTGCCAGATGCTTAGGACTTTGGAGCGGACGTGCGCAGACACATCCAAGATGTGGGCTATCAGGTGCTCGAGGAACTCGTTACGCACTTCCTTTAGTTCCTCGCTGAGATCCTCCGAGGTCAGTTCACTGACCACCGTGTCTCCGATGATCTGCAGCACACAATTGCGCAGCGTGTGTGATTGGCAGTCTAGCAGGTCATCCGCCAGCTTCTCCAGATGGGGAATGATCAGCGATGGCGCGATGTTCGAAAACTCGGCCAAGAAATTTGAGAAGTGCTTGGACACCGTTGAGTCGGAGCTATCCAGCTTCAGGGCATCTACAATGCTTTTAATAAGGATCGAGAAAACTGAGGAGATTCCATATTCCTCATGCAGCAATAGAATTCCGGTGGCCACGGAAGCGGCAGCGTGCTCAGTACCACGCAGGATCTGCAGGATGCGTACGGGAAAAGTCATGGCCTGGTTGAAGCGCTTAATTGAAGTGCCCAGAATCTGGAAGATTGTATCGAAGACATGCTTGTTGTCCTGACGGAGTGGTAGCATCTCGAGTGTGCGATAGCAGATGTCGCAGAGCAAACTGTGGAGGGCAGGGCATTATATATATAAATAACACGTTTTAGGTTCAACACGTACGTTATGAAGTCCTCCTCGGCGACGGGCGGACTCCAGAGCTTCTCCAGCGGACACTGAAGCACATTGAAGAGCTGCACCAGGAACTTGCCCCGTTTGGCATCCCAGTTGGGAAACTGCTCCAACCCATCGGCTTGTTTTGCCCGCTTTTTCTGCACATTCACTTGCTGATCCCGCAGAGCTTGTTGCACACTGTTGTTGATCTTCTTGACGGTGCTCACTTGGAGGAACAGCGTCATTTTGGTCAAGTTCAAGTAGCTTTTGCGCTGCTGGTTGGACAGAGGCTCTGTGGCCGTCAGCAGGGGCTGCAGATCCTGGAACAGCTTGTCCACGGTTAAGTACAGGAGGTCGAAGGACCTCATCAGATTCTGTGAGGAGGCGGCATCTGAGCCACGGGCCTCGATGATCGAGTAATACAGGTCGAAGTGCTCGAATATATAGAAGGGATCGCCCTGGTGCACTTTGCGCTTGCATTCTGTGGAGAAAGGAGGTCAGGCTGAGTTTTCCACAACTGTACGCATTTTAAAAAGCAACCGCGAAAACGGACACTCACCTTGAAGTTTTGGGGGAATATCGGCGCTGCCGAATATCTCCTTCACGTAGTACTGGTCACCACTGGAGTTGATGAGGTCGGAGGCGTTCAGGGGAAGGACGAACTGGAAGTCGTGCGTTTCCTCCATCACAAGTATTTTTTCTTATATTTGCTAAACAAAAACGTATTATATTTCTAAATAGTGGCGTCGTCTATAGAGGTGGAAGCATTCCCCGCCAAATCGATTGCATAAAATCGGTTATCGGTTATCGGTAATGGCACTCCAACGGTATGACCATAAAATACTTCAATGCTCTTCAACCAATATGGGTAATCTAGTGTAATGGGATACACTAAATTATATAGTAATTTTAAATATATTCAAAAATATTTATATATAATATATATATATAAATAATTCAGTAGACATTTTATAAATTTTATTTAAGCAGTTGTTTAAATAACATGGGAAATGCATAATACGTTTCCTAGGGAATCCCCCTAATGCAAATATGTGAAGTATCGATAGTGCTATCGAAGGAGGTTCATCGCTACCATAGACGCCGAGCAAATTCCTCCGCCACTGAATTAAATCAGTTTTAATTTAAAATTATATAGCTTTTTAATTAATAAAACCCACCAAAAGATTGACAAAATGCGTCCGCCAGAGTTCAAGCTTAACAATCCGCCGGAGGACCTGATCTCCGCCGTGAAATTTGGTCCCAAATCGAATCAGTACATGGCGGCGTCCTCCTGGGACGGAACACTCAGGTTCTACGATGTGCCGGCGAACCAGATGCGCCAAAAATTCCTGCAGGATGCGCCAATTCTGGACTGTGCCTTCATGGTGAGGTCTATCCATACATATTTCTGATCCATCCCACTAAACACTTGACCTGCAGGACATAGTGCACGTGGTCAGTGGCTCGTTGGACAACCAACTTCGTCTCTTTGATGTGAACACCCAGACGGAAAGCGTTGTTGGAAACCACGAGGAGCCCATCCGATGTGTGGAGCACGCCGAGTACGTCAATGGCATCCTCACGGGCAGCTGGGACAAGACCGTAAAGCTGTGGGACATGCGGGAGAAGCAATGCGTTGGCACCTTCGAGCAGAACAATGGAAAGGTGTACTCCATGTCTGTGATTGACGAGAAGATCGTGGTGGCCACCTCCGACCGCAAAGTGCTCATCTGGGACCTGCGCAGGATGGACAGCTACATCATGAAGCGGGAGTCCTCGCTAAAGTATCAGACCCGCTGCATCCGCCTGTTCCCCAACAAGGAGGGCTACGTGATGTCCTCCATCGAGGGCCGGGTGGCCGTGGAGTACCTGGATCATGATCCCGAAGTGCAGCGGCGCAAATTCGCCTTCAAGTGCCACCGGAACCGGGAGCAGAACATCGAGCAAATCTACCCGGTGAATGCCCTGAGTTTCCACAATGTCTACCAGACGTTCGCCACTGGCGGTTCCGATGGCATAGTCAACATTTGGGACGGTTTCAACAAGAAACGCCTTTGTCAGTTCCACGAATACGATACCTCCATCTCCACGCTCAACTTTAGTTCCGATGGCAGCGCACTGGCCATCGGCTGCTCCTATTTGGACCAACTGACAGAGACACCGGCCACCGTACCACATCCGACCATCTATATACGCTATCCGACGGATCAGGAAACCAAGCAGAAATAAGTGCTTTTGTTTATTTGTTTATGGCGTAAATTATACACGATTTTTCAAAGTAAGCCATTCTTTAATAAGTACCCACATTAGTTTGCCCAGCACAATCGCAAGTTCTATGAAACTCATGACGGAGGCCCCTATGTAAAGACTTATGATGCCGCCAAAGTTGGCCAGTAAATCTAGGTTAGTGTGCTTCAATTTTGTTATGATTTTGGTCATCACACGCTGGCCATAATAAATCTGGGCTCTTATCAATGTATCTGTCGAGTTTTTTGGGCTTCAACATAAGAAAATTTCGTTAGACTTAGACTAAGGAGTTCTACTTTAGACTTACTAATCCAATTTGCGCACATTGAGTGACATTGTGTACTGCCGCGAATTGCAGTTATCAGGGCAATTACATAAATGTCCACGTCTTGAGTCGTTAATATACATATCCTGGTCGCCCATTTTCACATAGCTGAAAATATCGGCATTATTGCCCAGACATTTTGCATCCAATATTCCGCATTCACGAATGCCCTCTGAAAGAATAACTTGAGTAATGAGTAAGATGTAGAATAATTTATATTTGTATGTTCCTACTAATGGGCGGCAGAAAAGCTGGCGTGGAGCAATTGCAGGTTCTCATTACGACCTGGTGAAGGCATACAACCAGACAATTTTCCCGATTATAGGGCAATAAAGTATCCTGGAAGTTTGGTTTTTTTTCGTTCTACGAATAATTGATTTGTTACCGGTTGACGCTACTTGCTAAGAACCTTTACTCACATCAAAGTAGCAACGCCTCTTGCTGGGACTCATTTTATACGTGCTTGGGGAGGTTTCCGTGACCATTGGGTGCACAGCCACAAAGTTCTCCGTATCCGGATATAGATGGTAGGTCATCTGATTCGACCACTGTCGTGGTTCCTTGATCATTAGCTGTTAAAAACAAATATCAACCGTATTTTGCATATTTATTAATCTTATATTTACATTCATTCCAAAGGGCATTTCTGCGTCAGCCTTCATGAGAGGATAACTTGCATTAATAGTGAATTTTAGGCCAGACTCCTCTCCAGCGGTGCTCAACTTGTGCGGATAGAACTTGTTGGTTATTTGCTTTTTCCGGGAGTGCTCCGAAATTAGAGAGTTAAAGACCCAGCAATGACCCTTCTCCGTTTGCTCCGGCACAAAAAGCTTGCAGCAATCATAAGGAGTCTCGTCGAAGACGCAGGAATTGGCGACAAACAGCTCATCACATCGATAGGCCACGAAGTTCATTATCTTCCCCATCCTCAGAAACCCCAAGGACGTCAGATTTCTCTTGGCCAGATCCTTTGCCCTGTTAAAATTGGAAAAAGTAATCAGCTCCAGGACGACGAGAAGCTGGCGGAATGTTTCCCGGAGCTCTGCACTCGGGTTTGCTGGTAAAAATCGGGATAAGGCAGCTGGAGCTCTTTGCCAGTTGACATGGCTCCATGGACAAATGGCCACGGCTGGAAAATCAATGTGGTACACTGGCAGCTGGGTGGTGTCTATCAGGCTGACCAGAATCTGCTCACTATGGCGATGTCGCAGCACGGAGTACAGACTAAATCCCGTGATACCCGCTCCCAAGACGACAATTAGCCACAGGCAGCGTTGCCAAAGACGCCGCTCCCCGAAGACGTGCTGCATTCCATGGATGGACGAGTGGGCGAAGGCGCTTCGCAGTCGATCCTTGAACGATATTCCAGGTGGCTTGTTCCTGAATCGGAGTAGTCCGCGTTTTGGCCGCGGAGCCACAAGTTCTCTGGTGTACAGCAACATGACGAATGGGAAAAGTTTGCTTAAGTTATAGTTAGCTGAACCGGGTTCATTAGCTGCCGAAACAATAATTGGGGAAATAATATGGGTTCTATCTAATAGCTACTTGGATGATATTATAGTACTATACTATATTCATGTTATTATAGTATTATTCTTTCTGTCAGAGTATTAAAAACGCAAGATCTCAAGTTTGTTGGAAAGTCATTACTTTATTAACTACAATTAAATCTTATTAGTACTGTCGTCCCATTAAGACCTAAACCTTGGGGGCCAGGCTCTTCTGGATCAGGGCAGCGTTCTCCCTCAGCAGGCAGGTGGCTCCACGATAGGCCCACTCGCAGTCACTGGATTTCTGCTCATTCTTGTCCACACAGGCGGCCAGGGTGGCGTGGAAGGCCTCGTTGTGATCGGCATGGTTGCCCACCAGCTGCTGGTGGATGTGCTCCACATTGAAGCCGGACTGGGCATCGAACAGGCCCCACTTGGTGAAGACGCACTTGATGTAGCACTGGGTTTTCTCGTCGTTGGGGTACTCCCACTTCTGGTACTTCTCCACCAGATCCACGGGAACGGCCAGTTCCTTCACGCACTCTTCCCGATAGGTCAGCATGTCGTGGCGGTTCTTGACCACATAGTCAGCAGAGGCCTTTAACCCAGAGTAAAGTCAATCGATTAGATTTGGGATTCTCTGGATCTGGTTCACAGGGTTATCAGGAACAAACACTCACCAGACCAACCAGCACACAAATGGCAACGAAAACCTTCATTTTTGCTTTCTTTAACTTGTTTGTTCGACGATCAAGAGGAGACTGTTCAGAAATAGGGCCAGACAGCCGCTATTTATACCCCTGCGAGGGAGCAGATTCGGGTTCGCGATTGGACTCGGTACCTGAGGGGTCTGCAAGGCAAGATTATGTTTCTCAATTCAGTTTTTTTATGCTCAGCTCCAAACAGGGAATTTGATTCTTTTGTGACGCTGGGCATTTAATGCTTTTATGGTGACGACAAGTGGACAACAAAGAATTTCTGGATGCCGTCTAATAACCTCCATGGGCTGGGATGCTGATAAGACTGCTCCCCTTTAATCTCTCGCAAATTGGCACGTTTTTTTTTAAAGATTAATTTTACAATTTTTAGCAAAGGCAGCAGATTTGAGGATCGTATGTATGCACTGAACAAAAATGATGGGATCTAAGAAACATCTATTATTTCAAAGTTCCTGTTTGATTTAATCTTATGATAGCATTTGATGTTTCTTTAATAGCACTGACACTTTATAACTATTTTAAGCAGCAAATAAAATTATTAAGATATTTTTGTATTTTCCAAGTGCACGTAAACAAGACCTTTGGAGTTGTATACGTTCTCATTCGATACCCCTGGGTTTTGTTTCGTCTTGTTGGGGCGCAATTGAAAATTTTCCACTGCCTACGCAGGTAGTTAAACTCGAAACGATTTTCCTAATGCGCTTTTGTTCTCATTTTATTTATATATGTGTGTATCCCAAGAACCAGGTGAATAGTGTATATGTATGTGATTTGATTACAGGTAAGTATAGAAACGTGAGAACGCAGCTGCAAAAGGTAGGGATATCATAGTTCCAAGTTAGGAGTCGTGGGGTAGACGACAACAGGCAAAGTGATCCAAGAAGTTATTGATGAATCCTAGAACCGATATACCCATGATTAGACCTGCTATTCCTCCATAGGAAACTGTGGATTAAAGGGGTGAGTATTTTATACCGTAGATAGAATCGAGTCCATAAACTTACCCATTAGATCGATGAGGGTGAAACGCAGCATGGAGCGATAGGAGAACAGGGTCTCCTCCTGAAAATACACATCTATCTCGATTTCTTCATCATGGGCGGCGTGGGTGCTTAATCTTTCGGTGTAGGTTGAAGTATGGTACTGGGTATGATCACACTGGGGAAAACATCCGCAATCAACGGTGGTAAATACATTATCCCGGGACTCTTCGATGATGTTGCTCATGGAAAACAGGGAAACTAAGAGAAAGAAAATATATAATTTCAATAAGAAATTTGTAATGTTAATTCAAAGTTAAGATTCACGTTTATGCTTATTAAAGCAGTGTAGATCCTTAACACCGCAAATCCTTCGACCGCTTTTTTCCTTGCCATCGGTAAAATTTTCATTATTAAACGTGTAATCTTCTGGTAACTCTAAAGAGCAGTTGCACTTGATAAAGATGTAGTTTATGTGGCACTTGTAGATGCATTCTGAACGTGATTGATTTAACAGTGTGACTTCGTTCTAAAGGGAAAGGGATTCAAAAGTGTAATGAAGATGTAATGATATCCCTAACTTAAGTGTTACCTCGAAGTAGCAGCGACGCATATTAACCGGACGGGCCCGAACATCTAATTCGGCGGTAAACCGAAGTGGTTCTACGGGAATCACGATACGGTCCTCTGAGGAATAGTCTATACTCACACCCAGATACTGAGTTGGTTCGTGTACTATAACCTGGTAAGTGTTAGGCATAAAGAGTTACTTATGAACTATTCTCTATAATATGGATCACCGAACTCACCCCCAGAGTGTTTATTGTAAACTGGCTGTAATGCCTTCTAATCCTCACATTTAAACCGCTATAGGCGCCACTGGCAGCCACGGACCAAGGCCAGGTTTCGTCCCTTCCCGAGGAGAGATTCGAATTGAACACAAAGGCAAACCCATTAAAGGTCTTTCTAGGCCGGAAAATGTCACAGCAGTTCATTGCCTTGCGACGCCATTGGCACTCCGTGAAAAAGTGCTTACAATTGAACTGCCAGGACTCGAGAATTCCCCAGGTCTGAAAGTTCCAGTTGTCGTAGTCGGAGAACTCCGTAAAATTCTCCTCGGTCAAACGGGCTGACATTGGAGTCTGCCAGATCAAGGACTGGATCAAATTATAGGCCTTGGAGAACCGTTGCGATTTCTTTGAAACATTTACACAGGTAAAGTTAATCGGGATAATGGTCACTGCTGGAAAATCGATCTCGGACACATGCATATCGGTACGTTCTATGGAGGTCTGCACCCAGTAATAGAAGTATCGCTCTGAAGACAAAATGCTTACGTAGACAGTTGCTAAAGCAGCGATTATTTTGAAGGGGACTCTAGTGTACCTGTAGGGGAAAGCGCATTTGTAAGATATAGCAGTGGAAGATTGGTGACTTCATTAGAATTGTATGATATTTTTCTAGAGATTTTTATAAAAGCATATAGTTTAGTTAAAAAGCATATAATTTTATATCATTTTTTGTACATTCGTTCCATACTTAACTATTCTATTTTAGGTAAATATGAGAATCACTCACCTCCTAGTCGAAACACATCTACCTTCCGCCTTCTTTTTCTGCTTTTTCAACGCCCGGTGGTCATCATCATTATTTTCTAAGGAAGGGTCTGGCTTCCAATCAATTGCACTCATTTCGCTCAACAGTTGAACTGTGACTGTGGGAAAGTCGAAGCTAATTGGCAGTTCTGCCCGCTAATCAATGAGTTCGTCTGCCACTTCTGTCAGCGGACTTATCAGTGGCAGGAAACATAACTACTCAATTACAAAGCTTGTGAGCCATAATGGATGGCCTACCCGGTAAAACTTTGCCCGCTGCAATTACAAGTCAACAGGCCATTGGGACTGTGGCCATAAAAGGGTTCCCCAAAGTCCGGCGAAAAGCTCAGTGATTGAGTGACTCGGTTTCAGAATGGCTAAGGGAACTAAATCGGTGAAGTCAACTGGTTCTGGTGGCAGTGACAAGTGCCTCGGGGATTTGCTGAGGGTCCATTTTCGAAGCTATTGCGAAAAGTCAACGATTCACTGCGTTCGCTATCTGTACGACCCACAGTTGCACAATGTTGAGAGGTGTGTTTAGGAATCTAAAACGGAAATAGGGATTGAGTAACTTGATATCATGGACATTTTATGATTTTGATTAATATATACTTAGTATTTTCTCTTTATTTTTCTATTATAATATTTTAAAAATATTTTCTTAAATATATTTATAAAAATGTCTTTATAATCTCCGCCTGCAGACTCATCTGGTGCGTTTTGCTCATCATCAGCGTGGCCCTCTCCTGCTTCTTTTACCTTCTACTCTCCGAGCGTTTTGTATCCCAGAAGTTACAGACAGTGGTTCATGATCCACAGTACCCAGTTTTTCTGGTACATTTTCCGGCCGTAGGAATTTGTACGGATAATCGAGTAAATTGGAGCAAACTAGAGGCGGCCAAGAAGCAGTTCCTCCCAGCAAATTCCAGCGTGGAACTTGTGGAGAGCTTCACCGTCTTGGTTTCCCGAATGGAAACCCTTCGTTTCGGTAGTTTTCTGGCCAATAATGCTCAACTGGAGGACGACAATCTGGACCAAGTTGATTTTGTTAACCTAACCGAATTGGCCATGTTTCTGACCCTTCAATGCAAGGACATCCTGGTCACGGATTCCTGCCTGTGGCGCAGTTCCTCTTTCAATTGTTGCGATTACTTTGTGATGGAGAAGACGGAGTTCGGATTTTGTTTGGTTTTCAATTCAGAAGTTTCTCCACGTTCCAAGACTATCAGACAGAAGGAGGGTTTCAACTTTTATCCCAGGCATAATGCCAAGGCGGGTCAAAGTACGGGATTGAATTTTGATTTACTTCTAAACGAGAGCTTCAAGCGACCCAATTCTCAGGCTAATGATAATGTTTATGTTAGTATAAGTATATAAATTTAGTTATAAATATTTACATTCATTCCACCCTCAGGTAATGATAAAAAAGCCAGATCAACTGAACAATGTGCTTTATTCAATGACCCAAAACACCGAGACCTATGTGACCGTACGTCCGGAACTTACTTGGACTGATGATACCACTAGAAGTATTCCGCCGGAGCGGAGGAACTGTCTTTTTGCGGACGAGCAGAGTGAGTTGGATTCCCGTGATGCGGCCAAGAAATATGGCAAACCCTTTCAGCTCACCAACTGCCTGAATAGATGCCATGAATCCTACTTGGTTCAGCTCTGCAACTGCTCTCTACCCATTTTTTTCTTATACAACAAGAGGGGTAAGTTTCAAGTTCACTAAAGGAATTTATTATGCTTTAGTTTGGGCTAGATTGAAATATTTTAATACATTGTATTAAAGAAATTTTATATTTCTCATACTTATGATATTAACTACCTATTTACTTTCAGTTAAAGAATGCACCGCAGGCAGCCTGCGTTGCCTAGCTCGTCACAATGGTGAGAGTAATTTGAAAAGATAAATTCTTGAAATTATAGCATTTCGCTGCAGACATTTTCAGCTACGATAAGCGAAGGGACGAGGATGCCCTTTTCAGTGCCACAAAACCCGGGATGACCTGTTCCTGTTTGGTGAACTGCTACCTGCTGGATTATTATACTGCCACGACCACACTGCCTTTGTCAGCCAATAAACTGTAGAGTTAATGTAATCTTTCTTGGTTTCTTCAGATATCTAAAACCATTCTTTGCAGACCCAAAGACCCACAACAGAAGCTTTTCAAGGTGGATGTGCACTATCAAGTGGAAACTATACCCCTATACCGCACTAGCTTGGAGTTTTCCATTATTGATTTGATAGGTGAGATTAATCAGATGGTATTTCATATATCAAAAAATTATTCTTGCAGCCAATCTGGGCGGAATCTTTGGCCTTTGCTTGGGTGCTTCTATGGTCAGTGCCTTCGAATTGGTTTACTATCTGACTGTGGGCCTTGCCATGCACCTATATGACAACAAATACTATGTGGCTTTGAACAAACGACTGCGATTCAAGTGGCAAAAATTTAAGAGCTATCTAAAAAACGATGTCAATCCCTTAGCGGAGATTCCTGCAACCCAAAAGGACAATAGAGAAGGTAAATTGAGGCACCCCTTTAACCATAGAAAAAATGTTTGGTAAACAAATTGTATGATTCAGATTTTATTTATTAAAAGTTTTACGTATGTACTTAACTGGTGTTATTTTTCTCTGGCCAAATGGTAGAGTTATAATGGGAGGTTCGGGTTTATTAATTTTTCTCTTGCCATGAATGTACATATAAAGACCAATAGAGAAGTAGTAGGCCAACTCAACGGCGCTTAGTAAAGAGGCGCCCAGAAAAAGACCAACTATACCACCAAAACTAGCTGAAAGGATAAAAATACATTTTAAGATTAGTTTTAATAAGAGGTACTATTCTAACTAACCCAGCAGTTCCACAAAGGTAAATCTCATGACGGTTTGATATTGAACAAGCCAACCAGACTGATAGAAAATATCAATACGCATTGTACCCGCCTCAGTATCGGTCTCATTGTTACTAAATAAAGGTTTCAAAATTTTTCGGGAAAATTAGAATGAATATTTAATACAAGTATTATCTTTAAGTCTTACTTACTCCAGTGGGGTAGTGGTATAAACCCGATCAAAAATAAGCTGAGTGCAACTGGAAAAGCAGTCACAAATCATGCTTTCGTTAAAAAGATTTTTTACAAAATCGTTCTCCTCTGGATGGCGTTCAATGCTGAAGATGACTGTACATAAGAAAAAATGGTAATAAAACAATTTAAAAATATAAAATTATACTCGTAAAAAAAAACTCACGTCTGTGGTCGTACAAGCACTTAAAGTCCGAAGCTTTGCAGATTGTAAAGTTATCTGCAAAATAGTTTTTTAGGTTTAATATTTTACATTATTCTCGCATCCTAGTACTAAAAAATTAAAAAGTTATTATTACAAAATATGGTACCTAGACTCACCATTTTCGTTGAAGGGAAAAAATATCGAGGGTGAGCAATTGCAGAGTTTGAGGACATGTTCCTGATGGCACTTGCTCCGGCAGTTACCCACCCAGTACTCGAATTCCGGCAGGTTTTTGTAGAGCGGACTGTCGGTTTCATCACCAAATATACATTTTCTAACTTCCGGAGGGACAGACCGGGCCCGTTCATTAGTGACAGTATAACGTGGTGTTATGCTGACCCTGGTATGTGACTCATGGGGCACATGGCGTATCACATCACTCCACTGTTGCGGCTGCTTGATCATTACATTTATGCCCCGTTTTCCAGGACGGATGAGGGACCTATTGAGCCTCACGAAAACATCCAGACCGGTACCTTCGCCATATTGCGCTGTCCGAAGGGGATAGTATTGGTCCTCCTTCTTCAGTTGGTTATACAAATATTTAGTATTATAGTTAAATGAGTTTTGTCTAACTTACTGCTCTTTTTCGCGATACTTGACTAATCTCCGCGTTGAAGACGAAACACAAGCCAGACTCCGTGAACTGCTGCTCAAATATCTCGCAGCAGTTGACTGGATTTTCCCGCCATCGGCAGATTTTAAACAGATCTTGACATTGATACTGGATGTACTTATAGACTTCGCGAAGGTTTAGTGAATCTAACATTTGTAGATTACTAGTCAGGGTTTCATTCGTAAAGAAACTCGACATTTCGTTCATCCGAGCCAAATGAGGATCACCTGCTGCTGTGAAGAACTTAATAAAGACGTCCTTTTTGGCGGCAGACACATTGGCACCCAGAAAATGCTCAACTGCTCCGTTCTCAAGAAGTTTCCAATTGAGTCGGTTTCTTGAACAGAGGCCAATCGAGGGAAATGGCACTCGAAAAATAGGAAGCATGGTGTTCCTAATGGTGGTCTGTATGCGCACCGATTGATAAACTTCGCTCAGTTCCACGTACACCAAAATGGCACCAATGCTGGTGGTTATCAGAATGAGCAGCCATATAAGCCTGGTTTCACAAAAAAGAAAATTTGGAAAATTATAAATATCTTAAGGGAAAATAGAAATTTTAAAATATATTGCATTTTAATACTCCTATAACACCACAATTTTTATACCAAAGCACAAATCTTTTAGGCTTCTTAATAATGTATTTAATAACAATTATTTAAATCTTACCTTTCGAATTTCTTCATCTTAGGTTCGGCTAGATATCGTATGCCATGTACAGAGGATTCTTTTGCGTAATCCTTGAGATACGGCAGAAAGAAACGCAATAGTCTCCCCAACCGACTCCTAGTCTTGGGATCCTGCTGCGTCTGGATGAGTCCTGATTTCCCCCCGAAATCCCTATAAAGTGGCTTACGTGGCCTTGGAAGTTCCAGAGGATAAAACATTTCTTTAGGGCAATAAAGAATGTAGATGCTCTTTGCTCGACGGGTGCCAAGAAATTGGACATTCAAATTTAAGTTAGGCGCGGAGGAAAGCCTCCGCAGCATTGAACTCAATCAAAAAGCAATTATTCGAAATGGTCAAGAGGGTGGCTCTGGATCCCGACTGGTTCTCCAGGTTCTCCTGCCCCGCCAAAGCTTAAATCACGCACACAATTAACACTTGAAGGGGGCAGTGCGGGTGGCAGGACACAAAGTGGACGAGGACGCGCAAGTTGTTTACTCAACTCGATTCAGGATGGCAGGACATCGGGATGGGGAATGGCGCAAGTCACTGTCCATTGGCAGCGTAATCCTCCGTTGGCTCCACTGTTTGTTCGTTCATTAAACGGAGCAGCGTCTACACTCGAAAAAACTATCTTTCATAAATATGAAAAACCATTTTTTTATTTTTTTAAATTTTCTTGAAGTTTTTTGGTACTAAAATAACACAAATAATAGTAAAATGATAGAATTGAAAACTAAATTTCAGTTATAACTTAACATTTTTATCATAATTTTTGTTTTGGCATTATCTTAAGTTAAAGAAATCTTTTGTTTTATAATAGAACACCATTTTGTAACATTGTTGAAATTTAGAACAATTTTATTTAGCATTCCATAGACTTCGACCTATTTTCCCCAGTGTAGGAGACAACGACTGGTAGTTGGAGTCTGTGATACTTTTTATTGAGTGCTGGTCTGGTCAAAAGGAAAAGTTGGGGAAGATGTCGGACATTTTTGTCAAGCTTTCAGTCGTTTGTCTGTCGTCCCGAATTGTTTTGTGTAAACAAGTGAAAATATTTTCGATTTATCATTGCGTGCATTCCCCGTCCTTGTCAACTGTCTCCTTCGATTGCCGGGATCTCGATGGCTTGGTTGCGTGATTTATTTGGCCAACAAACTATGCCCCAAGTTTCTGATTTGATTTTCTGGAGTCTTGCATCTAACGCCAGGGATTAAAGACGTCTTAGGGCTAAGCGGATGATGGTGTCTCGCCTTAAGTTGGCTACGCAACAGTGCTGCCAGCAGCAAATTCTTAAAACCAGGAAAGTCTAATTGATATTCTGTTTAATATCTAATCTAGGTTAAGCTATGACTTAAACATAAATATACATTTGACTAATTGATTTTATTGAACTTACGAAAATGGGACTCACTATTAAAAATATTATATACTTATTCACTATATTTAAGGACCTTTTCAATCCTATCCGGAAAAAGGGCAAAAAGACATCACTACCCTGCTTCTACTCCTGATTACACCCCACAAGGACCCATGGAAACGCACTCGAACACACGTTGAAGCCTGCTAATCCTGGCATTATGGACAACCCGAATGGTCGCCAATTAGCGTTGTGTCAATCACACATCGAGTCTCTTTGCTGGGAATCTGAATGCCAATTGATTTGCGCGCTCGTTCTCCATTTTTCGGTGATGCTCGGGGGTTTCAGGTGGTTTTCCAAACCGCTTAGGGGGAAATGACAAAATTTCAAAATTTTCACATTGATTGATGACCATTGATTCTGGTACATCACTGTTGGCCTAGAGGGATTGATTTATGTGGCCTGATTTGACACACAAATTAGGAACTCACTATTTGGTTGCTCTGCCTTTTAACTAGTTCATTGATTTTATTTCGGAAGTAAATTGAGTTTGATTTATTTCTTAAAAAGCCGTTTTCATTCTGAATCAAACTGCTTCTGGAAAAGTTTGCTGTTGTATTTTAGCTCATCAATTTCAGTCATCCACTTGCCATCGCCCCAAGCTAAACTGTCTAAAACTGAACTCATGGTTCGTGACTTTGAACTCTGAAAGGTAAGTTGAAACTCTTTCGATTCGCCTGATTAAATCGCCTGAGGTCGTAAAATAAAACCACCATCGCACTTCATTATAAACAGTGCTCAGGAAACACTGGCAAACCCAAATCTCCTGACGAGTAGTTATAAATAAAATTCGAGAACACACCCACACATGACACACTAAATCGACTCCCGACCAGACGTTAATGACTTCCGCTTTCGCCAGTAACTTTCAGCCACACTTTCACTTTAACTTTCTGTCCCTGCGCGTGTGCAACAATTTTGTATCCTCGTCGTCATCAACATCATCGTCATCATCATCATCATCATCTTGTTCCCTTGGCAGGGTTCAAGTTCATGTGGCCTATTAAGCACAGACACCCTGGATAGGATGGCAAAAAGTTAAGGCAATTCCGAATCAGAGGAGTTTCGTGGGGCAGGCCACCCCGTTCAAAATTCAATCTCACTTTTATGAGCCAACAGAAACGTGACGAGGCACCGACTGTCACCGTCGCCGTGGAGTGACAGGATCAAGGAGCAGAATGGGGAGCAGGATGAGGAGCAGGATGTGGAAAAGGAAAAGGAGATGGAGCAAACACTGAATGTTGCCAACTGCCAGTTAGACTGTCAAGTGTCTGGCAAAATGCCATTTAAATATGCAAATTCGTTTTAAAAGCGAACTTTAACTCGTTCGCTGCCACGCTAATTTGCATGTTTCGCGGCTGGGCTTTTGTCTTTGCCTTTGTCCTTCTCCAAAATGCTCAAAACTGCTCCGTAATTGCGTTTATCTTTTGATGACTAAATCCTAGAAGACGAAAGTCTGGGACCCATCACTTCCGGTCGCTAAGCTGCCATAAACATGCCCAGTAACGCGTGTTAATTATTTAATAATATTAAGGGATTACAAGCCATGAGCCCGAACCGCCATTTGCCATTTTGCCTGATTGATGGGCCAACATTTACCCCTCCTTATATACCCATTTGCCCATTTCCCCATGGAGCAAAGATTTACCATCGATGGGGCTGTCAAACGGCCAAGGCTGTTGACTTGTTTGGCCAACGGAAAAGGTGTTTTGTTTATATCCACGCCAGGATAAAAGGCATCCCGGCAAGGACTTCGTCGTTCTGAGAGCAGCGCTTGTCGCTCGCAAGTAATTTGAATAATTTTCTGAAGAAGTGCAAAATTTGCATATGAAATCTGCAATCTCGCATGCTGAAAAGGGGGTGGCCGGAGTTTTTCCACACATTTGCAGCGGCAGCTGCATTGACTCAGACGCATTCAGGCAGCAGGAAGTTCGTTCTGCTCCTGATTCTGGTCCTTCGGTGGTGCAGATAAAGAAAAACAATAGAAAAGTTTTTTAATCAGTGCTTTTCAGGCCAATACAAAAAATCATTTTAATGCTGAAAAAGGCATTTCTTATACTTCTAAATCCTGTGCTTGAAGATTTCTTTAATATTTAACCAAGAACAATAATATTTTATTATCTTTTTTGTTATAATATACTAATGCATAACATTTCATTGATAAGATCTTCTATTTTTTCCGCAAATATTGTAATTAAATAATAAACCACATTTTATTGAGTTTTTAGTTACATTATGTTTAAATTAAAGGTAGATTGTAATAAATTTGTTATATTATTCAGCAATTTAATTTTTAACAGCATAGTAATAATAATAGTATTTTAACGATATGAATTTGACATAATATCATGTTTATATGATCAGATTTTGTCTTGTTTCCGTGTTTTTTTTCCTAATTTAATAATTTAAAAAAAACATTTTTTGGGATCTTTAATGAAATTTAGTTAAGAAGTAGGTTTTATTAACATAATAATATTAATATGTATTTTTATTTTTAAGAGCATAGTATTAATACAAAGTATTTATCATTGTGTGGTATGTGTGTGTTCCTCTACTTGTTCTAAATTTAATTTATAAAAATATTCTTTTATAATCTGAGTTCGCCATAATAGTACCCATAATTTTCTCCCAGTGTCATAGGGATTTGGCGGGCAGGCGGAGGCGAGAAGATGCTTTTAACTTGTCTATGCAAATGCAAATGTTTGTACGCAATCGAGGAATAAACAAATGTGCTCTCTATGAAAATGTGTGCATGTGCGTTTGCCCTTGTCGAGTTGTTGTTGCTGGCTTCGGAAAAAAGTTGCTGTGAGAAAACCCGATGTGAGTTATGGGCGGAAGAAAATTAAGAAAACTTCTTATAATTGATGTCATGCATTTTTAATCTCATTCCAGGCGGCCTGCCATTTGCATTTTCCTATTTTACGTTTTGTTTCGGTTCGCAGCACAAAATTTATGAACATATATATTAGAACACTTGCTGGGGGACAGGATAACACTTAAGCTCTCAATTAAAACACTTTGCCGGGTGCTCAACTCGCTTCAGTTGGGCAGTTCTCAAATGTAAACACTCGCATTATGGCTTTCTTCACAATTTTAATTACTTCTCGCAGACAGAATTCCTTAATTTGGTGCTCTTCACACATCCTGAACGTGGGCGAAATAATAAAAACGGTCTTTACACATGCAAAATGCAATAAATGAGAGGAGAATGCACTGTGGCAGGCATCAAGTACCAAAGGCCGGGCTGCCAGGGTGCCAGGATACTGGGCTGCCAGGACACCCCGGATATCCTCGTGTGCCCCTAGAAAATATAGGTACGTGTGCCAGGGGAGCTCGCACAATTTAAGCTCTGAGTATTTAATTTGAAAGTTTGCTTAACAACTTTTTAAATACCTAATGTGCCAAACTGGTAGACAAGTATTTCATGTGCCACATTTTTCACAAAAATGTTTCAGTGTGCAAAATGCGGAAGGGGAGCGTTAACAAGGTTCACACAAATATTTGGATTAACGAAGGAAAGTTAATATTAAATAAAAGATTTTAAGGGGCAAAGGTAAACGAAGTTCTGATTATACTACTGTCAAATTATAAGTATACTTTGGATTTTTGAATTTTTTCCAGAATGAGTTTTTGTACAAAAAAAAAACCATAAGAGCTAATAATTAAGTAAACATTTATTTTATGTTGTAAAATGTCTAGCTTTGTATTTATTAAGGAATAAACAACTATTTTTTTAATGATTTTATATAATATATTATTAATTATTAGTATTATAGTATTTTGTTAAAGTTTTCTGAACCG